GGCAACCTGTTTCTGGATAAATTCTTCAACTAGCAAATCCTGAGCCTTAGTGAGCTATAAAGAGTATTACATAAAAATCAGGGAACCAGGTATAGTGGCACATGCCTATAAGCCCAGCAGTTGCCTTCAATTTCCGTAGTCAGGAGGCTCAGGCAGGAGGATCACCGCAAGTTAGAAGCCAGCCTGGGCTACATAGTAAGTTTAAAACCAGTCTGAACTACATAGCAATACCCTGTCTCCAAAAAGAAAAAGGAAATGGAAAATTAATCAGCTTCTTAAATTTTTATTTTATTTTGTTACTGGATCTTTAAAAATATATTTTGTGATATTCTCTGATTAACACTGACTAATTAGCAATGTGGCCTATTCTTTCTTGCAAAAACTATGCTCCAAACAAGCTTTATTCAGTATGTATGACAGTGCCAAACCACATGACATTTTTCCAAAGCTATATATTCCTTAAAATCCATTCCCTTGGAGTCTAGATAGAAATAAATTTGAACCACTCTTTTATTGGAAGCATATCTTCCAAACTCAGTATGACTAAGACTCTTAAATTTTGTTTATTTCTATGTGTTACAAAGCCATTGTATTTATAGATGGTTCCTTCAAGAATGAAGGAATCCACTTTAATGATCTTGATTTATGTTTCTTTTCAAATTGGAGCATTTACAAGGGCATAGTTCATCTAGTAGAAAATTACAGAATAAATTCCTTTCTTTGAATATTCACTGCATATATGAAAAAGAATGGTATTCAGGATTTGGTATCAGGGGTAGAATACTATATCTGGTAACATTTAATAGCTCTTAATGGTCAGTATGACTGTAATCCCCCAGACAGAATCCGTTCTGTACAGTCTTTTAGATGAAACAGACCTTTTTCCTTTTGTGCCCAAAGAAACGTACCAAACACAAAAGGGTCAAGGGGAGAAAAAAGAAAATACCAAAGTGCTAAGCCATGGTAGTTTATGTCTGTGCAGCACTTACATAAGGATTTTGTAAATCTGAGATGCAAAGCTCTGAACAAGCAGCAAGATTGCTGATGTGTGTACATACTAGTAGGTGCAATACTCTGCATTTCGGTGTGTAGAATAAGCACTTTGAATAAAACCTGACAGTACAATATGCTGTCTTCTAATATCAGATCTGTGCGTACCAGCAAGACTTACTTTCTTATTGATCTCATCACAAAGGGCAAGGGAAGTTCTGCCAGGTGGAGCTACTAAATTTTTGTGCCTTTTCTGCAGGCCAGAAATGCAGCATTTTTGTTTTTGTTTTAAAGAAAAGCATGGCCAGATTTATTATGTTTGGGGCCAGGAAAGGACTAATATGGCTTAAAATGATGGGAAACACCCACACAACAGGGATTATTCTGACTGGATGTAGCTTTTAGAAATATTTATTCTATCCAGACTCATGATTTAATTATATTTCTCCTGTTGAGCAAAATTAATATTCAAAGAAATTATTCTTAAGAATCTAGCATTAAATTTAAAATTTTTATTATGTAAAAGTTTTTTCAGTACGCAGAGCCTAACCATTGAGCTATACCCAGTCCTTTTTTATAATGTGACAGGGTCTTGAACAGTCACTAAATTGCCTGGCTGAGCTTGAAAATGCAATCTTCTTACCTCAGCCTCCCACACTGATGAGATTACAGGCTTGCACCTGGCTCTAAGGTTGGCTTTTTTTTTTTTCCTCTTTCATACTGGGGATTGAACCAGCACCTCATAAACCAGCACCTCATAAATGCTAGGCAAGCAAGCAAGCAAGCTAGTCATGGCCTCAGGCCTCAGCTCTTTTTCAAGTTGGGGAGAGAAAGTATCCAAACTAGAACTACAACTTCCCATCCTCCTACCTGAGCCTCCCAAACAAACAAAACATGCCCCCAAACAAACAATACCCTGAGAATATTCAAACTCAATATGCCTAAATGCAAACTTCAAACAAGTTTCTTCCCTAACTTTCCCATTTCCCATAGAAGTATACTCAACCCCCACCTACATTTTTTTCCCTTTGGTTTTTGAGACAAGACTTGGCTTGGGCTGGACTTGAATTCACTGTGTAGCCCAGGCTGGCCTGGAACTCAGGGAGATTTGCCTGCCTCAACCTCCCAAGTGCTGGAATAACAGGCACGCATCTCCATGCCTAGCCCTAAGGGTCTGAAAGATACAAAATCCTGTACATGTAGGGCCTGTAAGCCTATAAATTGAGCTTGTGCTTTTCTTTCCACAGACCATCATTCTTAAGGAAGCAACAGAATTATGTGGGCAGATTCTCCCTAAAATTCAAACACATGCAAATGTTGCATTCTAACCTACTCCACCAAATGGTAGCCTGACAGCAGTAGGAATACATATCCTAGATCATCCACCTTGAGGAGACCCCCAGACCATATAAAAACCCCCAAGGCATATTCTACTCTGACCATAACCTGCCACCATGAGGTCTTACACTCCTTTCTCTTTATTACCCTTTCTTAAGTCTGCTTGATAAACCTCTCCATGTATTTTTTTCATTAGTGCATTTTTATTATAAAGTAGTAAAACTTATATACCAGGCAAGATGGCACATGCCTACAATTCCAGCACTCGGGAGGCTTAGGCAGGAGAATCACTGCAAATTTAAGGGCAGCCTGAGCTACATAAGTGAGTTCAAGGCCAGTCTGAACTATATAGCAAAACAGTCTCAAAAAACCAAAATAAATAAATAATTTATTTTGGAAAGTTACAATACTACCACTTCTAAACTTATTTTATATTTTGATTTCTTCACATACAAATCATAACACATTTTCAAGTTTCTGTAAGTTTTCCTAAATATTGTTTTTAGGGGCTACATAATATACTTTTTTTTTTCCTTTTACTGGTACCGGGGATCGAACTCAGGACTGCCTGCTTGCAAGGCAGGTGTTTATGCCGCTGAGCTAAATCCTCAGCCCCCATAATATACTTTTGACTAAATGTTTTATGAGTCACATTAGTTAGTGTAACTCAGTTTATTCAATAAAGTATTTGAGGTGAATCCATAGCTAATCCTTTGTAAAGGAGTAAGTGGATCACTTCTAAATGTTAGTTCTGACACTGTCAACAATTTTATACAGATAACCTTCATTTTAGGGTGCTTCTTTTTATTTTTTGTTTTGTGAGGCAGGATCTCCCTGTGTTACCCAGGGTAGCCTTGAACTCACGGTGATATTCCTGCCTCAGCCTCTTGAGTGCTGACACTACAGGTGTGTACCACTATGTCCAGCTAGGGTGCTTCATTCTGATTGATTTTAAGAAGTAAGATATTCAGAAATGGTATTACTTTTATTAAACGATTTTCTAGAGAATCTTTACCAATTTGCAAATGCAAAAGAAATGTGTAACAATGCCAATTTAACTGCGTCCTCATCTGCACTGGACTTTAAGAAGAGACTGTCGTCTTTTATTGTCAAGTCAGAAAGTCCATCATTTTAAGTCTTGGACAACTACATTTTGGTGGTGGGAGGGGTGGTTGCTGGTGACCAAACCCTGAGTTCTGGGCATGCTAGGCAAGTGCTCTACCACTGAGCTATACCCAGTTCCTTCACACAGACAGACAGGCAGGCAGGCAGACTCTTCTGACACACAGCTTTCCTTGCTTTACTATTTTTTTTGACTCATCAAGCCATGCATTTTGCCAAGAGTATACACTTACTGGCAAGTAATCTATATCTGTGGGTGTACCTCATTTACATACGCATGTGCATGTGTGTATACTTCTATGTGCTATTCTTTTTCTTTTTGAGACAGGGTCTATGTAGTGTAGGCTGGGCCTGAATTTGCAGCAATACTCCTGCATGTGATTTCTGAGTGCTGGAATTATAGGCGTGCACCACCACATCCAGTCTATATATTACTGTATTCTTAACCTATATGCTTGCACATGTGGGATGATGAAATCATGTTATATTTTCTTATATGAATGTCTGTTAATATAAAAATAAAGTCAGGAAAAAGGGGCATAAACTAATTTGTTTTGTGATAATGATTATGGAAACATATATAACCTGTTTAATATCTTTTTGCCTACTTATCTATTGGGTCTTCCTTTTTCTCTTAGCAATACAGATAACACACAAAGATAAAGGTTCTTTGTCATTAATTACATCCCAATCAGTTACATACACACATGCACACCCCCATAGGGACTGTACCCATGGGCTGGAGTATGATAGGCAAGTACTTAGACAGAGCAATAACCCAGGTCTGGCACTTTCTTTGAAATATTATCAAATTTGATTTGTTTCTTTTTTGTGTGTTAGCCTCCAGTGTCGTCAGGCTGAGAGATGTCTCTCATTTAGACCACTAGTTTCCCAAACAATGAACACTGGATAAATGACAAAATAGTCTTACTGCAGGTCTACTTTGATCTTGGCCAGTTCTAGAATTAATAAGATATAGTGTGGAAGTTCCAGTTCACACTAAGGATCAGCTGGAAATTCAGATTACCTGTCCTTTTTTTTTTTTTCTTTTACCTGTCCTTTTTAAAGAGCAAGAAAAAGTCAGCAGTGGCATGAGCTTCAGCCTGGAGGACTACACATGAGACCCCAGTGGGTTACCTGGTATATATATATACACCCTGTATGCTCACCCATCCTTGGGCTGTATCAGGCTGCCTCAGGTCCTACCTCATGGCAAGTTCCACCCTTTTAGCTAACACACTTCTCAAGTTTTTGTTTTTTTTTTTTTTTTTTTTTGGTATGGGGGATCAAACTTGCAACCTCGCACTTGCCAGGCAGGCACTTACACCACTGAGCTAAATCCCCAGCCCATTACACACTTCTCTGTCTCCATGCAATTACACATGCCCCGAGGATTGCTAGAATATCACGCCAAACCAGTGAGAAATGGCTATAGTCTGTTCCTTTAACTTCACTATATCCAGTAACACAAAGAAGCTAAAGAATTTAGGTTTACCACCATTAGCTATGAAGAGGAGAAATGTCTGAAACAATGATGGACCAAAACATACCTGATTTCGAAGAGGCTGTGGTTGTGATGGCCGATCCCTGTGTGTGTGGCTTTCTCGAGTTATTGCAGATGCACCCGAATCTACATGAATTGACCCTACTGGAGTAGGCTAGAAAAATGAATAAAAGTCAAGTGGAGAAAACAAGTGCAACTTGACGCTTCTGCACAGGACAGCACCAATTCTCATAAAGTAGTGGGAATTCTTTTCAGCTATTAAGGGCAGTGTCAAGTTGTTTTGTCTTCTCTCGCTTTGCCCATCTGCAAAAGGGAGGCAGGCAGTCTGGTTCTCAATAGTTCACTGGTGAGAGTAGCTTATCTTCGAAAGTTGAAAAGTAAAACAAAACAAAACAAAACTCTGCAGCAATATCCATTAGCATTCTCTCCAGACCTGTGGACCTTGGTGCAAAACCAACTTTCCTATTGTACTGGGTTCCACTCCTATAGCAATCAAGTACCTTAACAGGATATGCAGCACTAGATTCTGAATCATTCCAAAGAAATTTCTAAAAACCTGCCTAAACTATAGTACAGTTTCTCAAGATATACCAGTTATAATCTTAAAAATGTGTAATTCTTACTCCTAACTCCAGTGAAAGCATTCTATTGCATGACCTGAAAAGGATGGTAAATGTGAGCCCTACAATCAAAGGAATTTACCCCCAAAGATTTAAAAAGAAAGACTAAGAAGTAAAGGGTAGGGCAGTGCTAGTCTGAGAAAGGAGGTGAGGTGATACAAAGGAGGATACTTACAATGGGCCTCCCGACCCAATCATAGGCATAGTCAAAGGTGTAGCCTTTCTTTTTAAGGAGGTCTGTGAAGAGTGTCCGTAAATACTCATAATCAGGTTTCTCAAAGAAGTCTAACCGTCTGACGTATCGAAGGTAGGTTGCCATCTCCTCTGTGAGGGAAGAGGTGAAAGGCAGTGCTTGGTAGCTGCATGCTTCCTGGGAGCTGGGGGTAAGCTGTGGACTATGCAGTGCTATCTATACAGAGTATCTGACATTAGTATTTATCTTATGGACCAAAGAAAAGTGACAAACCTATGCTGGCCTGAATAATAAAAGGAAATGCAAATTATCTGGGAAGTATTTTTTCTAGGGATACTAAGTTATAGATTCTACCCACTTCCAAGTTTTATAGTTGCTTTGGCTGAAATACACTTCTGGCAACATACCTGGAAAGTTCTCACAGAGAGTTTCAATGGGAGTATTCCTTTTGGTGTCCCCAATTTTTTGGTATCTTTCTTTTAACGTATCTGCCTGTAGAAAAGAAAGAAAGTTACCTGGAAAGAGCCATAAAAGATGTGATAAGTATATGATATAATGGTTTACTAGAGTTGTCAGAATTTGCTGCCCAGTTTCAGTTTTTTTTTCCTCTAGTACTAATATGAAACACATATATTAGCTATGTACAAACAGCTGCTGGACTCTGGAAGGCTTTACTTTCAAATACACTACTTGCAAAAGAAAGTCTCAGATAAAGACATTAAATAATGATGACATAAGCAGTGGGGATAAGAAAATAAAAATATTATATACCAAGATTTTCAAAACTGTAGAAGCTCAGTAATCTCTCATGGCCAATGGAGTTCAATAGGGATTCAGCCTTCTCCCTCTTGGATCAGTTCTAAGATATGATTAAAAGTATTGCCTAATGTAAATAGAAGAAACATAATTCTACTACATACATAGTAAGAAACTGGATGGAAAAAAAGGTCAAGAAGTGAAGAAATCCTTTTCAGCAATGTGTTTCCATAGGGGAAAACACTTATGACATGCAGGCATACAGGTTGATTGTGTCAATTTCTCAAATCAGCCCAAGTCTGGATAGGATGCTAGACAGAGGGTTTCTTTTATTTATTTTTTAATTTTTATTGGTACCGGGGATCAAACTCACGACCACGCACTTGCAAGGCAGGTGCCTATGCTGCTTAGCTAAATCCCCAGCCCTCCTGACAAGAGGGTTTCTGAACCTTGGATTAAGAGCGAATTGCACGTGCGCACACGTGTCTGTGTGTGTGTGTGTGTGTGTGTGTGTGTGTGCGTGTTTTCCTGCAGACTGAATGCAAGGCCTTTGCATAGTAGGCAAGTACTGATCTACAGCTCCATCTTTTAGTTTTCATTCTGAGTCCAGGTTGTTCTCAAACATGCAATCCTCCTGCCTCAGCCTTCTAAGTAGCTGGAATTACAGCTGTGCGCTCATATGCCTGGCAACAATGGATCTTAAGGGATTCCCATTAGGGTCAATCTAGACTACTTCACCCAGATTTAAGCAGCAGTGACCTAATGTGAGATGGAGATAATTAAATTTACCATTAACACTAAAATCATTCAGGGACCATGAGAGAGTTTCAAGCAACTACTCATACTGTAGACTAAGGTACTGATGGGCTAGATGATGAGTATATAGGATCTATAACTCTTGAAAGTTCTCTACATCAATGAGAAGACAGATATGACTGGGGAAAAAACCACGATGAGCTATCAAGAGAGAAATGTGAGGGAAAAGAAATAAAACCTCAAGAGAAAGAATTTAGAAGCCTGATTTTCTAGGATAATGTCCTAGAAAGCACAGCAAAATCAGTAATTCCATCCTTCTGAAGGAAGGAGTGTAGGAGAACTCCCAAGCTACAGATTTCCTTTCTTCCTACATTAAAAAATCTCTTTCTTTAGTTTTCTGAGATAGGGTCTCACTATGTAATCCAGCCTGGTCATAAACTTGCAGAGATCCTCTTGTCTCACCCTCCCCAGTGCTGGTAAAAATGCATCTCATATGTAACTATCTAAGGGACTTAACATGGGCAAAAAAGGTACTGTCTCCCAGTCTAACCCTAAAGGCAGTGTCATCAAAATGCTTATGATATATTGTTTTCTATGACATGTAGGCACTGCACTGATACCAAGCTAAAGAAGACTATTCAAACTTCACATGTTCTGCAAGGAATTGGTACTGTCTGAAAAGCGTATTTATTCGATAATACACTTCAACAGCAGAAGATATTTATTCTGTAATATACTTAAACCTGTAGTTTCGGTGAGTCCTTAGCTTAAGCTGTATGAACAAATACTTTCCAGCTCCTCTTAGAGGCATACTCTGCTGGCCTTTCTGGTGAAGTATGTAGCAGCTGCTGTCATCAATTTGTTCAAGAAATTCCCTGGCCCTGAGAACACTTCTCCTGCTACATAATGGCAGAGGAAGAGGGATACCAACACACAAAGAAAGGCAACACTACACAGCTAGGGAAAATGAAGTGAAAGATTATGGACCCAAATGCAAAGAGGGAAGGATTATAGAGCAGGAAAAAGCCAAATGTGAATAAAACACAGCTCCCAAAGCTCAGGTAAGCATCTACAACATGGACTAATTTTTGCGTCTCATCTCTGTGCCTTCTTAGTGATCCAAGCCAGCATCCCTCATTCACACGGCTCTGAGACAGAGCTGTCCACTGAGCACTTTCAAGGATACCTTCAATCCTTGCCAAGGCAGGCTTCCTCGAAGGAAATACAGGAACATATGGCCCAGGGCTTCCAAATCATCTCGCCGGCTTTGCTCTAAAAAGGAAGACAGATCATACAATATGTTTGCAGTTATGAAAGCAGAAAGAGGTTCAAAATCAAGTAATCCCTTTAGAAACCCTTCTGCTCTGGAGAAAGCTGCTGCTTTCTAATTCTTTGTATATCTAAACCAGAAACTGGTTTTTTATTTTTATCTAAAATACTACATGTAGTTCCTCTGTATCTCCTGCTGGCAAGTAAACAGCAAATGACAACAGCAAAGCCTAAATTAAAACCATGCCTCAGCCAGTGAACAATGAGTAATCACCCCTCACTCAATCCTGTCACCTGCTGAAAGGGAAGTCATTTATATGGGGTTCAATTACTCTTGGGCCATCACCAGGGAGAGTGAGTGACAGATTAAGCAGCTGAGATTGTTAAAATAGTCCACTCTAGGTATGCCTGCAAAGATGCAAGCCACAGAATGCCTAACATATACCTTAGCACCTCTCGTCCATCATAAAAATTAACACTTAAGGTTCAGATTCATATAAACAAATCTCAATGCATGATCTCTTGGTATCAATCCATTTGTACAACATATTATATATCAGAACATCCTTCAGAAAAATTTGAAGTTCACTAATAAGGTAATTTCTATGAGATCATAAAACAGTAAGGGCATTTTGGGAGCTTGGTTAAAACGAGTTGCTGTTGTTTTCTTTCCTTTGAATTAGGAAGATGAGCTATCCAATACAGAAAACAGTTTTTAAAAAATTACAACTTTAAGCCGAGCGTGGTGGCACACTCCTGTAATCCCAGCACTTGAGAGGCAAGAGGATGGTTGCAAGTTTGAAACCAGCCTGGGGTATAACGTGAGGCCAAGGCCAGCCTGAACTGCATAGCGAGACCCTGTCTCAAAAAGACAAGAAAAAAAAAAAAAAAGTACAACTTTAACTCAAAACATATATTCTTTGGCTGTTGGCCTGAATATTGATTATTTTACAATAATTTGCCACCTATGGTTCCTTGCAGACAATTTACATTTTTTTCAGAATCAGGTATAGGATTGTATTTGAAAAGTTACAGAAGTGAGACTAAGACTGTGTGTGTGTGTATTTCTTTTCTTTTCTTTCTTTTTTTTTTTTATCAGTACCAAGGATCAAATTCATGACCACGCGCTTGGCAAGGCAGGCACTTATGCCACTGAGCTAAACCCCCAGCCCTAGTGTGTGTGTTTCTTTTTTAGGTACTGGGAATTCAATGCAGGCACTGTACCAGAGCCCTAGTCCTATCTGGATGTTTTTGTTTTGTGTGTACGGCATAGTAAAACCCAAGATTGCCATATAAGCAGGAAAAGCCAGCCACTCAGCTTACTGAAAATACTCAAGCGTAACATGGTTACCTGCTGCCTAGAATTGTGGGAAATTTGCATGAAGACAGAATGACTAAGGATTGAGGATACAGCTCATTGTCATAGTGCCTGCCTGGCAAGTCCGAGGTTGTGAGCTCGATTTCCAGTACAGAAAAAAAGACAGACAGATACACTAGTATTCTACAGGACAGATAAAGGAAGAAAAGACAACATTTTAATTTTGGAAAGGTGGTTACTACTGGAAAGAGAAAGCAACCCAGGCTGGGGGTGAAGCTCTGGGGAAGCTCTGCTTAGCAATGCCCTGGATTAAAAGTCTAGTACTCCAAAAAAAGGAAAAGAGACACTGTGACAGAGACATAAATAACTTAAAACTGAGTGCTGTACCTTAACTGAAATAAATGTGGTTTACATCCAACCCTTATTTATTTATTTATTCTTTAATTTTGAGACAGGGTCTTCTAAGTCCCAAAATTGCCCTAACTGGGCTTGAATTTGAGACTGTCCTACCTCAGCCTTACAGAACGCTGAAATTAAAAATATGTACCGCCACACCTATTCTTGAAATAACCTCAAAAACAATGAAACAAAACAGAATGGTCATCAGACACTTATGTCTATAAGGCTTATCTAAAGTTAACAATAAAATTACGCATACAACTGAAACCAAAGAGCAATTAGATAATAAGACACAAAAATGAAAAATGGAAAATATGTTGGATGTGGTGGCACATGCCTGTGGCACATTCTAGCACTTGGGAAGGTGAGGCAGGAGGATTACTGTGAATTTGATGCTAGTTGCTACAAAGTGAGCTCAAGGCCAGTTTGAACTGCATAGCAAAAGCCTGTCTTGAAAGACAAAAACAAAGGTGCTCTAAAAACAGAAAATATGCAGGGTGACTTCAGGCCTCCCACACAGCAAGGCACATGGAGAAACCACTCACTGCAGCTTCTTACACTGTATCACACCTACTCATCACCTCTCCATTTTTAGATCCACTTCTGTAACAAGACGTCCCTTGGTTAAAAAAATACGAAATACACTAAATGAATTTTAGTCGGGCACTAGAGGGCAAAACTCTCCACATTTTGGGTATATTACTAAGGCTCACAGAGTGGGGAAAATTCTCTTCACTATTAAGCCCATTGTCAAACGATATTTAAAAAATTTTCAAGCTCACTGGAATGACTAATAAAGTCACTTGTCAATCCCGAGAACTATGAAGAATAGCTATGGCATAAGGGATAATGGGAAAAACAGTAGTTCCTAAATTAGGTCAGGGATCTGGGTCTTGGCTTAACCCTTCCATTCATTTGATCCAGTGAAATTAATCACAGCTACATCACCTTAGGGCCTTAGTTTCCTCAGCTGAAATAAAGATCAATTTATATAATCATAAAAATCATTTTCTAACCTTAAAATTCTAAAATAATCAATGACAACATCAACCATTCAGGATTCTCAAGAAAAAAGGAAAAACCAGAGTGTGCTTTATTTTCATACTTCTTTACCTGAACACTCCATGCTTGTTTTTTACTTCAATATCCTTTTGCATGGAGGATAATTTCATCTTTAAAAAAGAAAGATTTCAACACCAGAGAAAAATAGAAAACAAAATTTTTCAATACTATGAAAGCTTCTTTTTAGCCAATGAGGAAGATGTACTTGGTTTCCCCACTGGAAGAAAGGCAATGTGCTCTAATTTCAACCACTGAATGACACTGAGCAGGTTCGGGCGGGGCTTGCTTGGTTAGGAGCTGCTCATGTGTCATGGTGATGTCAGGTGTAGGGGGCTTTTCCCCTTGCGCTCCTGCCTTAAAAACCTTAACAGCCATTCTCTCCAAGTCATTTGACAATACACTCCCAGTCTTTTTTTCTCCCCCCTCCCTTCTTTCTCTGCAACACAAAATGCACCACACTTAAAAACCAATGGCAGGGGGCTGGAGATTTAGCTCAGTGGTATAAGTGCCTGCCTGGCAAGCACAAGGTCATGAGTTCGATCCCTAGTAGCAAAAAAAAAAAAAAAAAAAAAAAAAGTAAGTTTACCATTAAAAACCAGTGGCAGGTTGGGGATATAGCTCAGTGGCACTGTGTCAGCCTGTTAAGTATGAGGTCATGAGTTCAATTCCCAGTACAACAAAACAAAACAACACAACCAATGGCACTAGAGTTCCTATAGGAACCTTTCTGCTTTGATACCTGGGATAAAGTTAAATGGCAGTGACATCATCTCTAAGTAATCTATGCAATACAGAGAGAAAAAAAATATAGTGACAGGTTGGAGCTGACCTGAGGAACTGTGGGATCCAGGACATACAATTTTGGAGATAAACACAAAGTTTTAGCAGGATTAGTAGTTCACTAAAAGATTAAGAAGCGTAGGCCAGGTGAGGTAGTGTATGCCTGTAATCAGCACTCGGGAGGCTGAGGCAGGAGGATCGCCAGGAGGTTGAGACCATCCTGGGCTACACAGTAAGTTCAAGGCCAGCCTGGACTATATGGTGAGACCCTGTCTTTAAAAAAAAATGTGGGGGGATGAAGGGCTTAAAACATATCTTGTTGAGTATATAATATAACTATGACTCTACTATACGCTACTATATGGAAAGATGTTTATTAGACACTAGACACACTTCATATTATTCCACAGAACCCTATGTTATAGGAACTATGACCACTCCCATTTTATAGATGATATAACCAAGACTGAGGGAACAAGTATGCCAGATAAAAATCACACAGTTATTAAGTAAAGGATTTGTACCCTTGCTCCATCCTATTTTTGGTACTGGGGATCACACAGAGTGATGTCTGCAGCACATTTTTTATTTTGAGACAAAGTTTTACTAAGTCACTAGATTGCCCAGGTTGGGCTCCAAGCTATGATCCTCCTCCCTGCCTTACTTTCCCAAGCGCTGGGACTATATGTCTGGGGCACCAGCCCAATTCATACCCCTTTTTCTTCAAGATTACTATACTTTAGTCAAACAAAAATGGATCCCTATCCCTTATTTATTTTCCTAACAAAAATAATAAAATCAGTATATGAATTGTGGAGCCTAGGAAGCAGAGCTGAGAGCAACTTGTAGACTTTGTGAGTTAAACCTAACAATTATGACTATACTATGTAATACAGTCTCTTTGTAAAACAAAGATTATATGCCACTTGAAGAAGGGGACATTAAACAGGGTGTCTAAGAGACTTGTGTTAGGTACTGTTATAGGGTGGATGTGGTTTGACTGTGGCCAAAATTCAGGGAGAATCTGATTGCCAAGGTAGAGGTGTTGGTAGGTAGGGCCTGCACATGGGCTTAACGTCTTACCTGTGAGACTGGACTGCCCCCACCAATTGTTGTGACTTGCTGGTCCCCTTGTGCCCTCCTCTCTTTTCACATGCGCCCCCACTGCTCTGGCATACAGTCATGTTATGCGATGCTATCACCACAAGACTCTCAGGGAAATGGCTAAATTAACTTCTTTTCAAATAAATTATCCAGTTTTAGATATTCTGTATGCCAGCAGAGAACACACTAAGACAGGTATGGCTCTTCTACATATAGTACCTACATTCACTCCACAAAGCATCCTTCAGTATGACCTTTATTTTCCAGGGAGATTAAGCAGCTTGTCTGAACTGACACTGACAGGTGACAGAGGATCTTCTAGTCTAATTTTAAAGTATCACAGTAGGTAAAGTGAGGATTTCCATAGAGTTAATGAAAAAATCCTGACAGCATTCATGATTTTAACTTACACTATGTAGTTTACTTAATGAGGCAATATAGAAGATATTACATTAGTCTTTAAAATATTTATTAGTGTACAATGGTTCATTAATACTTTGAAGATTTTATATAATTAGCTATGTAAGGGAGCAGAAAACCTGGTAATATTCTGTTCACCTATCAAGAATGTTCATTTTCTTATTTTTTTAACCACCTAAGTATCTTTACTTTATATGAATTCTTTCATGGAAGCACAATTTATAAAACAAATAAAAAGGGAAGCTTTCTTGGCAACACTAACAAGGGGCCTGCCCAGAGCCTGGCTTCCCCACTGTTCCCTGGGCTTGCCTGACAAGCAGCGTCTTCTGTGTAGATTAAAGATTTTGATAATATTTGTGCAGATTGTTTATCCCAAATAAAATACAAGACTCAGAGTAAAGCAAATATATTTTCACTGTGTAAGAGAGAAGAGTTTCCTTAAAGGCTCTGCATGAAATTACTCAGAGTGAACAAAGCCCAGGTCACATTTTACTATTTTCTTTCTTTTTATTTTATTTTTTTTTTTTGTCTTTTTCCTTTTTATTGGTACCAGGGTACCAGGGATCGAACTCACAACTGCCCCTGCAAGGCAGGGGCTTATGCCGCTGAGCTAAATCCCCACCCCCTCAGGTCACGTTTTAATGATGTTCTCTTCCCTAAGCAGATACCAGCCTGCCATCCTTCATAGGACTATCACCTGTGAGGTCCAATATGTACACATGCAAACTCACAAAGATGCCGTCACCTTTCTTATAATAATTCACATTTTCATACTACTGAGAAATGTAAGCATAAACATCTAGAAACATGGAGCAAAGAATTAAAAAACCATCAGTGGTCAACAGGACACTTACCATTAACTTATCATTTTAACTTCCTGAGTATGAAAAGCACTTATCTTGGGAAGCAGTAAGGACAAGTTGAAAAGCACAATGGGATAAAAGTGTTATTGGAATAAAGTCATTCTAATAACTTGCCCCTTTTATGGAGCAGAAAATAAACGCACCTCTGCCAAGATGCGTGTTGATAGACATATATCTTGCAGTTCCAGTTAAACTTTTGTTCTCCTTATAAGCTATGTGTTTTTTGGTTTCAGCATCAATGTATTCCTTGGCCAGTCCAAAGTCTATTATGTGTATTACATGTTCTTTTTTATTGCCTTGTCGGCCAATCAGGAAATTTTCTGGCTTGACATCTCGGTATATAAGATTCTTTGAATGCACATATTCCATTCGAGATAGCTAGAAGAGAACAACAACACAAAACACATAGAAATACTTTAAATAAGCATATTTTAAAAATTAAAAATATTTTGTCATAAGGATTTTGGTTTTGTTTTTGTTTTGTCCTGTGGGTTGGTTTTGTTTTTGAGACAGTGTCTTGCTATGTAGTTTAGGCTGGTCTTGAACTCATAGTCATTCTCCTGCCTCAGCCTCCTGAGTGCTGGCTGGGATTACAGGTGTGCATCATCACACTCAGCTTCTTTGTGTTACTTTTTGAAACAAGGTCTCTCTATACTGTTTAGGATGGTCCTGAATTCCTTGGCTTCAGTAAGCCTCCTGTCTCAGCCCCACAAGTAGCTGATGTTACAGATGTGCTGAACGTAGCTCAGCATTAGGTTTTAATTACCAAAATAAAAACATAAGTAATCTAGTACTCAACACCCACTCTAGTGAGTTGGTTAAGAAGAGTGGAATAGTGTAGTTCAGCTAAGACATTATATTATAATGTCACAATTTGTATAATTAACATTATTTTTATACTACTTCAGGAAGTAAGTCTTTGACAGAAAAAAGCCATTACCAAGGAGGATGCCAGACAATTGATCGCATCTGGGACAGATACAACAGCACATTCATTTCTTTCTTTTTTTTTGTCTTTTTCCTTTTTATGGGTACCGGGGATCGAACTCACGACTGCCTGCTTGCAAGGCAGGCACTTATGCCGCTGAGCTAAATCCCCAGCTCCCGCACATTCATTTCTTGACCCTATTTTCCTATCCTGAGTTGGACAAGCCTCCCCAACCCAGCTTCCATCAGCATAGAAATAAGAAAAGTGAGACACAGAGAAGTTGATAGTAGTCTACTAGACAACGTGAGCCACTGCAGTGTCAAGCAAGTGAGGTGCATGTGCGTGTTTCCCTCAGGCCAGACACACTGCTCAGAGGCACTGAAGTAGCTGTTCCAGAAACCCAAACTGGTGAGCAGTCTGGTGGAACTGCAACAGCCATGTCTCGGCCATTCCGAGGGTCACAATGCCAGAAGACTAGGGCAATTTCTTGGTCAAATAACTTTAAAAAAAAGACGGTTGGAGGAGTGGGCTATGTCTTCAATCTTTTCTAGGATGCAACAGTGACAGGAAAGAGAGAAATGATAACACCTTACAGATGCTTAAAACCTATAAATAATACATGGGAGAAATTATTTGAATGTGTACAACTCCACCTAATCATCCTCTTTCTCCCAAATCTAAATTCTGTGTTTCCATTTCAGTTAAGGGCAGTGTATTGCTCCAAGGTGCAAATTCCTAAAATAGAGCAAACTGCACATACAGTGTGACTTCTCTGAGTTAACCCTTCTTTGCACCAGCCAGCTTTCTGGAATGCTGGCAAGCCTGTAAGAATTAATTCACTAAGTACTGCTAATAAATCACCCAAAGGCCCACCTGGGTGTAACAGAAAGACCAGCATTTCTTTGGGACTATTAATGCCAGCTTACCAACTGGATGGCTATCATCAACACCGTCTTCAAAGTAAACGTTCGGTCACAGAGGTCAAACAAGTCCTCCAAGCTAGGGCCAAGGAGCTCCAGCACCATGGCACTGTACTTTCCACATGGTCCAAAATAGTACACCTGTGGGAGACCTTCAGCTGAAAGCAGAGGGGGAACAGGGAACGGGACAGGACACCAAGATATGAGACAACTGCATTAACAACAAGTAAGCTATAAATAAAGTGCAATTGGTGAGATTTCCATTTCCTTTTTACAGGCCCTACCAGAAAATTTAAACTCAGCACAATAGCTTCAGTGGGAACTAATGGATGGGAAAGGCTAAGTTATTGCACAGTATGTTCAAATAAGCAGTTATGGCATACCAAGTTGCAAAAGGTATTTGCACTGCTATGTCAGACCCTCATCCATTATTGGATCAGAGTGTAAGCTGTTCTTCCCAGAGGATGCCTGGAAGTGCAATATTATAAAAGGTTCAAAGGGTGGCTTGCTGGGCTTGAAGGGCAGGCTAACAGATGCTGTGGCATTAGCCAGTTTCATTAGTACTTCCTGTGCTTGCTGAAGCCACATGGAGCTGTTTGCAACTGCTGCCCTGTGGAGAACTCAGATGGAGGGCTGCAGGTTAGCCCCACAGAGGCCCCACAGAGGCTGCAGGCTGGCCCCACACCAGCATAACTGTACAACCGGCTTCTCCTCACAGGAAATCTCTGCAGTGTTCTGTTTTCTATCAGGTGGAGAAAAGTCAACTGTTTACATTTGGTTGCTGATAAGTAATTGTGAAAGGAAAAGGAAGAAGAAAAATGAAAAATAAAACAAGGTTGGGTTTTCCCCAGACTGAAAATTTATAGTTATAAGAAGCTAAAACCTGCCAGGTGTGGTGGCAGATGCCTTTAATCACAGCACTTGGGAGGCTGAGGCCAGCCTGGGCTACAAAGTGAGCAAGGCCAGCCTGAACTGCATAGTGAGACCCTGTCACAAAAACAAAAAACCTACAGTCTAGACTTTCTCACTAAACAGCAATTCGTAAACGAATTTTCTCCTTAAAATGTATTGTAAATATGAGGCACTTAATAAATATGTATTAACTGGCACCATGAGAACAGTGGATACTTATGAGACTATAAACTTAATTTTAATTGGTTTTGTAAACCATAAATATTTCCATCTCACACATATGCACAATGATCTACAGGTATGTATGCTGTCAATTATGGTTTGCTTCTGCTTCCACATTATTTAGACAACAAAATTCTCTGTATCTTCTCACACTTACATGGGTGAAATTTAGGCAGAGTCAATACACAGTGAATATATCCTCTCCAGAGCAGGACTTGTATATTTGGAGTTAATGAAATTCACTGCTGTGATGTATGTAAGACATGTGATCAAAACATACAGTGAGGGTCTTTATGAAGATATGATGAAAAATATGGGGACAGGGACTAGGGATTTAGCTCAGCAGCATAAGAGCCTGCCTCGCAAGTGCAAAGTTGTGAGTTCGATTTCCGGTACCAAAAAAAAAAAAAAAAAAAAGAATATGGGGATAGCTACCTGCCAGTTGATGAAACAGACAGGCTCATAAAAACATTACACTGATAAGCACCTGCCTTGCAAGCAGGCAGTCGTGAGTTCGATCCCTGGTACCAATAAAAACAAAAAAGACAAAAAAAAAAAAAAACCAAAAAAACATTACACTGGTACCATGTGTCTTCTGGCTCTTCTGCGAAGTCAAAATGACCATGAAAAGTAAATGTTTTGAATAAATTTGTTTAACAGAGGCAGCCACAATGGCACAAAGACATGAAAGAGGATTTCCAGAACTGCTTAAGTGGCAAGCATGATGGGCCAAGTGTGTTCATGTGTCAGGGAGTATTGTGAGATTAATAAAAATGTATCTTTTAAAAATATATATATATGTTGGGGCTGGGGATTTAGCTCAGGGGCATAAGCGCCTGCCTTGCAAGCAGGCAGTCGTGGGTTTGATCCCTGGTACCAATAAAAAGGAAAAAGACAAAAAAAAAAAGCATGAAAAAAAAATATATGTCTTTTTGAGGCAGGCCTTGAGCTTACTTTGTAGCCCAGGCTAGTCTTGAACTCACAATGATCTCCTTGCCTCAACCTCCTAAGTGCTGGGATTACGGGCATGAGCCATCACACCTGGCATTGTAATGATATATTTTTAAAATAATTTTTTAAATGTTTAAATATTTAAATCACATCTTATATTTACCTCATGTATGACAATATATCTTCTGCTTAAATGTAAATAAGTTCAGAAATTAATAGGTGGGATGATTCTAGAAAAGTCTTTCACAGGCACTTAGTGTAGGTTATGAACCTTTGAAGGACCAGAAACCATCTAGAATCGCCACACACCGTGAGGAGACAATATAGTGCTAAGAACAATGGGGGAGAACAGCAAAAGCACTCAAGCTGCTGAGTGCTGTGGAATAGCCATGCCAAGGCTGGATTTACTCTCTTTCTAAATTTTTCTTATCCAGAATAAAACTGAAGTCTCTATTCTACTACTAAGCTACGGTCATTTGGATTTTTTTTAAACAGCCAAAACAGTTAATTCTAATGAATAAACATTCTTTTAGCTGGCTAAATGGCAAATCTGGGCATAATATCCCTTTTCTAAAGTTCTTGCTAAAAGTCAGGCCTGCTTAGAAATGTTAATATTGGCATAATTTCCTAGACTAACTGCTAGTACTTACGAATCAGTTAATGAGAAAAATGATCTTTTTGTTCTTGACAATCAAGCTTCCATGTTTACTAAGAGCTCGCAAAAACCCTTTGGGTAAGGCCTGTAATTCTGAACTACAACGTCACTCACAAAACCTGCCAGGAACATCATAAAACGAGGAGTTCAGATCCTGAGACCCCACAAGGCAGTGGCCTGCTCTCGGATGCACAAGACAATTTCTAGATTATTGAGAAGCTTTGAAGCATTTCTATGAGAGGTATGTACTAGACTTGACACTAGTGTAGAAGAGCTCAAGTCAGAGAGTCTTGATTGGATCTAGTATTTACTTGTGCTAACAACTCTTGCAAAATCTTATGTCTCCATAGGGAAGCCTTTCTGGTTCCCTTTTAAACCCAAATTCTGAAGACAGCTTGGATTTCCTACCAGCTCCCTCCTAGGTTCTACTTTGTAAAGTCAAAAAACCAGTATGATAGAACTCGTCTCCCTGCTGTTTGGAATATGCGGTACAAATTCAGATATAAGCTGGCAGTGGTACTCAGATGGCAACAAGTCTATTATAAACATTTCTAAAACTCGTAACACAAATGGAGTGACTTTATCATACCTACTGAATCAGAATATCTAGGAATAGAAGCAAACACAACTCTACAAATGATATGTAACCTCAACTAGAAAGCTCTGTGCCTGGAGAAACAAAGAGCTCTGCTTTGTTTTGTGATTACTGTATCATGAAGACTTGAATAATGCTAACAAAATAGTCTCAAACCTCTTAGAATAGCACAACTATTTAAAGTTGGTTAAAAGGAGGCTGGGGATTTACCTCAGCGGCATAAGCGCCTGCCTTGCAAGCAGGCAGTCGTGAGTTCGATCCCTGGTACCAATAAAAAGGAAAAAGACAAAAAAAAAAAAAAGTTGGTTTAAAGACAACTTGTTAAAAGTTTCTCAATGAAATCTTCTGTCAACTTAGAAAGTCTCTTTGGGAGTTGCAATAGCAATTTATTAGCATTATCTGTACAGAAAGATGACCCTGTAAATGTTATTTTGTGCCTCGATTTTTATATGACTCCCATAAAGAAGCCAGCGTTGGTGGAAAAGACAGCAACATAGGCCCATTAAGAAATTCTATACTATTCTATACTGGAGATTATCATTCATTATTTGTTTGTAGCTGGGTTATATTTAAATGAAAATTTCTGTGTATTTTATAATTTTGTACAGCCATTGCTTAAAAATTTTTAAGTCAACATTATGCTATGGAATTCTTCAATAAGACTGAGTACAAGGGCAGAGCTTTAAATATAACAGAAGCGATATGTTAGGGAGATAAAGTATCTTCTGTAAATAATTATGAGTGGGTTTTGTTTTTTGGGTTTTTTTTGTTTTTTTTTTTTTGGTACTGGGGATTGAACTCACGACCTCGTGCTTGCCAGGTAGGTGCTTATGCCACTGAGCTAAAGCCCCAATCCTCTTAGGTGGGGTTTTATATCTGCTCTGGAAATAATAAGATCTCCCACCTATATCAGGTGTAGTGGTGCACTTGGGAGGATGAGGCAGGAGGATTACCGTGAGTTTGAGGCCCATCTGGGCTTCATAGTGAGTTCAGGGTCAGCCTGAAATATATAGTAAGCCCTTCCCTCAAAAAACAAAAAAAAAAAAGATCTTCCACCTAAATTAATCAACTGTATAAAAGTAGTTAAACCACAGGTTAAATCTCTTGTAAACCAAAACTGCTCGGGTACATACAATAATGCATGTCTTTCTGTTTGAGAACATGAAACTGCCTACCTATCAATAATAATCTTTTCTTTTTCTCTTTTCTCTCTCTTCCTTTCTCCTCACTCTATTTTTTTAAATTCAGTGTTGAACCCAGAAACTCAATCACAGTAGGCAAGTGCCCTACTACTGAGCTACATTCCCAGCTCTTCAAAAGTCTTACAAACTCTGCTGGACATATGGCTCACTCATAAATCAAGCTGAACAGAAGAGGAAGTGAGGTATACAACATTCAGCTATTTTTCAATCTGTCATAAATTTAACTTGGGGAGGCAGGGGATTTAGCTCAGTGGCATAAGCGCCTGCCTTGCAAGTGTGCGGTCATGAGTTCGATCCCTGGTACTGATAAAGAAGAAAAAGACAAAAAAATAAATAAAATAAAATAAATTTAACTTGGGTTAAATACAGCATATAAAGGATAATAGCTTCTTTATCATGCAAGCTGTTACCTAAAAAGATTCCATAAATGCATATGTTAATGTACTATTAACAGTAGCTACTCTAAACGGAAATATTTTTAAATGCATATCAGACTGAGAACTTAAATAGAACCACCTTGAAGCTTTTGGTAATTTGATCATATTTTTGCCTAATAATTAGTCTTTCATTCTTAAAAACTAAATTACCTGCAAAGCAAATTCAAATCAATCCTATACTTAC